AAAAAAAAAAAAAAAAAAAAAAAAAGCTTGACTATTCCCATTTCTGCTTTTGACTTTGCTGTCCGTAATGTCTGTAGATACTAAATCTCCAGGTCCTGAGGAAATTGGTAGAGGCCGTAGCTGTCCCAGTTGAGCTTGAGTCGTATTGTTGTTCGTGCGGCAAAGACACTTCTTTACGTAGGTGATACCGCCTGATTTCATCCCTGGCCATGTGTAGGAGCATAATAAGCTAGCATAGCTCTTTCTCCAACTGGAAGGTCCCTCTGAATCATGGGCTTCCCCTAGGATGATACTCTTGATTTCTTCAGTAGAGGGAACACACAGGAGATTTTCGCCACTAGGTGTGAGAAACAGTAATCTGTCTGCTATCCTGTATTCTACTATTCCAGCCATTCATGCAGTCTCTAATTTACCTTTGTTATAACTTCTCTGTAGATTGCATCTATCTCATAAGCATCTCCAGTCTTGTTCTGCAAGTCTTCTAGTGATAATCCCAAGAAATTTGCTCTTCTGGACAATGCAGCAGCCATGACATTTGGGCCTGTATCTTTAACCAGCACGAATAAACTTTAAAATGCCTTCATAGTAGGTGATGTTGCCAGGTCTGTAGGGCTTCAGGTATAGCATACAACTCTCACTTGGACGTAGAATCGTCTGCTTTCTTTTATGGTAGTCTCTTGGACATGAACTTCACCCTCTATAGCCCTCCAGTCCAACTCCCAAACAAGACTTCAGTTTCATGTCACAAATTCTCACAATTCACAAGTTCCTTTTCTTTCTTCCTTTTCTCTTCCACATTTTCTACAAAGAGTAGCTGAGCATTTCATCAATCTTCTTATACATTTTCACTTGGTCTAAGATCCCTTCCCACCAGGTGGAGAGCCCTCATCTAGTGTTCTTGCCCCGCTTACGTCTCAATTCCCCAAAGGTTAAGAGCACTCACCTAGAGGTCTTGCCAGGAAGCAAGGTATCCTCCATTTCCACTGCAGTTGTATTTGATGCCATTGCTCTGGAACACAACAAGCCTCCTGTTACTCCAACGCACTCCGTCTGCCGACCACTACAGAAGAGGACGACTATTGCAGAATTACTCTCGAACACACAAGGTTCACTTCCCCTGTATAATATATTGTGGAGGCTGAGTGTCCACGGATGCCGTACGCACAGCCATCACTAGCCAGAAGGTGCAAGTTCATAGCCACACCACCAGCAGACTTCCTGCGACAGACAGATTAGACATCGAAGTACCATCGGGACAAATTGCATGTCATAATCACAGACAGAAATCAGAGATCGAAACTGGTCAAAACCGTCAAACAGAAAATATCAGCAGTACACAGCTACACATTGTGAGGCATTCATGAACTAGGCTGCATGAATGAAAGAAGAAATGAGAGAAAATAGCAGAGAGGAAGGATGGAAGGCAAGAAAGGGAAGGGTCTTCTCCACTGTTAGCCCCGTCTTTCCCTCTTCATATGGGGTACTTCATTGAACATGACATTCAGTAAATGTGGCAGGGGTAATAACCTTCTTATTGCTGACTCTAATTATTACAGAGCTGGAAGGTTTGCGGACCTCATGGACTTAATCCTTCTTTCTCTCTTTTTTCTTTCCTTTCTATAGTTGCATGCATCCTATGTGTCGGTTTGTGATTTTGAGTTTTTCACTGTGTACCTTTTGCACCATTCCCTCGTAGGATTTGGCCTTGGAAGTACAGCATATCCAGTCTCTTGCTGGGCATGCATCACATAGGTGCTCAAGACTGTTGGGAATTCGCTAAAAGCCTTGTTTGCGTGAGAATTTGAGAAGTGGTCGACTTGAAGACGAGAGACCGGCAGATGTGAAGGGGGGGGGAAGAAAAAGAGAGAGAGAGAGAGAGAGAGAGAGAGAGAGAGAGAGAGAGAGAGAGAGAGAGAGNAGAGAGAGAGAGAGAGAGAGAGAGAGAGAGAGAGAGAGAGAGAGAGAGAGAGAGAGAAAGAGAGAGAGAGGGATATGAAGATAGATTCAGCATGAAGTGCAACCTGAAAAGGAGCAAGAGTGTTATGACCACTACATTGACTAGATTAAATAAAAGGGGGAAAGGAACAGCAGCCTGTCGACTAGCTTGCCACATGCGAACAAGATCAAGTCTCGTGCGACGTCGACATAACAATTGCAGATAGGAAGACAGGCTAGACTCATGCTTATTTCATCAAACATAGATGAACAAATTGAAAGAGTAATAACTTACTAATAAGGACAATGCAAGGCAGAACCAAGAGCAGACACTGACCACAAGGTAGAACTACTGGTTTTGGAGAAAAAATTGCCTGCCGGACTCACACTGCATGCAAAGCTTTGCCGAACTGCCAGCGCAGTGCACTTGTTTTCTTTTTGCCTGCCGCTGCCAGCCATTGTGGTCCGATAGCCCCGAGCCTCCGAGATTTTAGTAACGAGCCATGGAACTTTGGGGCCGTGTTCTGGCAGTTTAAGGCCTATGCTCTTGGCCTTAGCTCCTTGCTACCAAGTTTGCGGAGTATTAGTGTGGTTCCTATCCCACCAGCACCAGCAAGTCAGACAAACAGCGATACTCACTCTACGCTTTCCCCCGTTAATGGCCTATGGAACGTCTAACAGCATTTCTTTTGAAGGAGGATTAACTGTTGAATGCCCACATACGTTGAACTTGAAACACAGCCCACACCGACCTACCTTCTTCCCCTGAATACAACGTATGGTCATTATAGCTGTGTTTAGACTGAAACATACCCCAAATACAGCTATAATGACCGTACGCTGTATTCGGGGGAAGAAGGTAGTCGTCTGACCCCTTGGAAGAAGAACAGTCCTTAAAAGCAACAATGTTTGAATCGTTACTTTTCGGGTTGTGCTTCAGGCTACTGGAAATGCAATAGGTGCTGGAACAGCTCTGAGTCACTTCTGAGCATGTAATCATCTAAGTGAAATACACAACATTGTAATGACCCGCCAAAAACACAGACTGAGAACACTGCTGATTTCTGGGATTTGCCGCTGGAATGAATGCCTTGCTGAAATTCCCGCATTCTGCTGTGATTTCCATGTCTGTGTGTGTGTGCGTGCCTGCTGGTTTGCATGCCTGTCTGAGTGCTTGTCGGTCGAGTGTGTGTGTGACCCGCAAGGGTACTTGTTGGTTGCAAGGCCCCGCAGGGCCGGTACTTAACTGTGGCCGTGACTGTGAAGGGTTGCAGGGGGGAAAACACTCGAGTAGCGGGGGTAGGCCAGCGACACTTAGAGCAG